AAAAAGACACTCTTGTGGGTTTTTTTTTGTCTTGCCCGGGGGGAAACCGGGCCGTTTTGGGGGGGGCCCCCCGGGGGGTTTCCTCCAAGGGGGGGGGGGGGGGGGGGGGGGGGGCCAGCCCTTAATTGGGGTGGGGGGGGGGGTCAGCCCCCAAAAAAAAAATGGACACAAATAAGAAACCTGGAGTCCCCGGAGACCATAAAAAAAAAATTCCCATTTCCTGGCACGAAAAAAACCACCCACCAAAACCCTTTATAAAACCCCCCCTCCCCGGGGGGGTAAAGGGTTAAAAAAAAAAAGGAAAAAAAGGAGAACCCCTTCCCCCCAAAGGGAAAAAAACAGCCAGGAGGGGGGGGGGGGGGGGGGGGGGGGGCAGGGAGCAACGCTCGAGCTGTGCTTTGTCTTGCTTGCCTGAGAGCGGCCAGGACGCCTCTTGTAGGGTCGTCCGCGTGGCCGACGGGAGGAAGGCCGTACACGGCGACGAGGGTGGAGCCCTTGTCGTCCATCAGGAACTTGTTGATGCTGCCCTCGTACTCGTAGACCGACTCTTGCACGGCCACCATCACCTTGTAGAAAAAGTATAATAATTGGCGGGGAGGGGGGGGCGTCACAGCAGAGCACGACGGCAATGCAGCCAGCGAAACGCAAACAATGGTTCGGCCTGCCTACGCTTTCTCTCGCCAAATTCACGCAGAACTCCACCGAAGGTCACCTGGTGCATCTCTTTCATCGCCTCGTCGTAGACCGCCGCCGCCAGCAGCGTTTGCTCCTTTAGTCCAAGGTTGACGAACAGCACCGTCACTCGCCGGATCTGCGAAATCATGAGAGCAAAGAAAAAAAGCCAGACCGTCACGTGCGAATGAAAGAGGAGAGGTCGTTTCACCAAAACACGCAGACAAATACCATACATTTGACAAAATAAAGCAAAAAAAAAAGGAACCTCCTTTCATGCATGAGAGCAAGCTAGTGTCAATGCGGCAAGCTTCAGAAAACCGCTATCGCACACAAGACAACACCACGGCCTAGCGCGTGTAAAGTCTCTCGCTGGCGCACACTCTACCGGTGTTTCGCCTCGTCAGACTGACTGCTGCTCCCTCCTGTCGGCTGTGCATGTGTCAACGCTGCTGCAGCATCCGGAAGCACGCACACGTACCTCGTTGCTCCAGTGCTCGTCCTCGGGACTGTCAGGCCGAAGGTTCCTCAGAACGGCGCCGGGAATGTACCCCTTGACCTTCACCTCCAGCAGGGGGTCGTCCAAGCTCTGCTGCAGCATCCGCGTCTTGTTTTGCTTGCGCATGGGGTTGTAGTTCTGGTCCTTGCTGATGCGGCAGTACCCGTCGTCGAAGCGATGGTTGTTGCGGAAGTGGTCCTTCACGAGCTTGTGCGCCTGCATGGAGATGATGACCTGAGATAGATTAGGGTTGTACGGGACGGAGAGACAAGAGAGAAGAGAAAGACGCAGAGAGAGAGAGAGAGAGAGAGAGAGAGAGAGACAGAGAGAGAGAGAAATAGGGAAGGAGTGAAGAACACAGGGAGAGAGGGAGGGAGAGAGGGAGGACGGAAGGTGGAATGAGCCATGACCATACCAACAAAGAACACCAAGACATGTCTCCGTGACTCCTTCCATCTTGAGGAACCCTCTCGGCCAATGAACAAACAACGGAAAAAACACGACCACGACGGCACTCCTCAACCTGCCGCCGCCGTTCTACACGCCAACACACCGACGACAGCCTGGCCGTGACGATACTCTCCTAGTCGCCGGTGGGTGTGCAGCGGCGGCCGTGCTCAAGAAGAGAATTCCACAGCCGCTACCAACAACAGAACAGACAGCAGTCCATTACATCCCTCGATACAGACGCGTGAAAGCGCTGTTCGGCACCCAAACGAGGGGAGAACATTTCGTCTTTTAGCGCTCTCTGTTCTTCCTGCCACGAGAGAGATAGAAGCTGGTGGTGCCCACAACCTCCTAGCAGAAAAACGTCAGAGGGAACAAGCGTTCCCGCCCTCTGACGACGCGAAACAGACCCGAACCCCCGAAGCAGCTAGTAACCGCCCGTGTCAGGTTTGCCGGAACCCCCCCCTCCTCCCCCCTTCCCACATCAAGCCCACTTTACCCTGCGCCCCCCCCCCTCCCCCTGGCGATTCATCCCGAGTGCTCATGCCACACGCCATCGCCTGCCGCCCAGGTGACTCAAATTTCCCTGCGCCCCCGCCCCCGGTGGTCCTCTAGCGCTTGGTGTGCTCTCGAGCAATGCCGAGTTTCCGTTTGAGCTAACGTGGTAAAACATGGCAATAAGAAGCTCGCAAGCAGTATGATTGCGAGCTCGCATTGACGTAGTAGCGGGTGTTGCTGGAGCATCGCGACGTAACCGCGCAGATCCGCCTGACTAGCAGCTAGCAGGCCCCGAAGAGCTCTCCCAAAGCCATGGCAAAGCTCGCCCCCGCCGTGGGACATGAGTTCATACATGACTCCAGACGCAAGATCAATACTAGCGGTTCACGCTTAGCGTTGTGCTTACTCCACAGCCGTGCAGGCTCCCCGAAAACTAAGGGTGCGAGAGTAAATAAAGGTCGTCTGTCACTTATTGTTCTTCTCGACACCGACAATAAGTAGATACCTGAAACACGCCATTACATGCATGTGTGTTTGTGCTCGTCCTTTTCATTCTGGCGACGTCGAACATGATGCAGACTCGGTCATGGGGACACGTCACTGCGCGACCAGCGGCTACGTCGACGAACACTCTATGATGAAACCAACGCCCACACACGTAACGGCAGGAGCACACCCACACACGTGTTGAAACCGCATGCTTTCTGGCGTTTGGGCTAGCAACTGCAAGTCAGAAGAGGCACAACAAAAAGAGTCACGTGGTGCATGCAGTGCATGCAGTGCATGCAGTGCATGCAGTGCACGCAGCCAAAAAGAAAGACAGCCAACCAGAAGGAAACACAGCAGTCAATAGAGGTCCGCAAAAGACAGGCAGTCCAACAGTAAGTGCGCCCGCGGGGCCCCCCTCCCCCTCTCCCTCCCCCCCCCCCCTCTTC